TTTATAGGATTTCATTTTGTGTGATCAAAGAGGATGAGAAACAAGCGCACCACACAACCAAGAGGGTTTTGAAAAGCCTGATTAACATTCACAGACATAGACACTGTTATCATAATCCCCGGTTAAATAGCCTTGATAAAAATGTTATTTCTTTTGCTGTCAGCAAGCTAATCATATCACCGTTGAGATAATTAGCTTCTTTCTTTCCCCTCCAACTCTCAAACTAAGCTAAACTGCAGTATTAAGTACATGCGTTTGGACATATTTAGTGTAATCAAAGCACCCTAGGATTGCGTTGAGTTCTTGTAAGTTTGGTGAGTGACTAAGAGACTTTCATGTGGATTGACAGACAGGCAGGCAGGCAGACATGGGCTGTGCTATTCCTGTATAAACTGTTGGATATGTCAGCCATGCTGATTAGCTTGGCTGAGGAGCTCACGCACGCACACATGCAGTCACGCATGCACACACACACCTGCACGCACACCTGCCCACTATACCGCAATATTGTCCTGCATTGGGCGATAATTCCAGTGAATGAAAACTTTACATTGTTGCTGTCATGGCTAATTTCCAATTCATATTTAGGAAGGGCAGGCAAACACCTGTCACATTATTTGTTGGTTATTTGCTTTTATGGCATGCAATTAATATGTCTCTGTCTCTGTCTCTCTGTCTTAGTGATTTACCCCATGTCCTCGTTGAGTAAACAAGACTACGTTATTGCTTTTGTTGCCACGGATTCCTGCCAAAAATGATAGGGCGCCCTTTGAATTTAGTCGGACAGCATCCCTATCAGCACCAAACACACACCGCCTAAAACCACCGCTGGCCTTTTCAAGTTTCTGCATGTGGCCTCCGAATGTGGAAACCTTCAAGGTTATGGTTTGCTCAGAGTAGTTCTCTGTTCTGTTATATTCAATAACTGCAGATATGTTTCTGTTGTTTTCAATACACATTGTCAGCACCGTACTCTAAAATGTGTAATCATGTCATTTTGTAATGGTAAAATTAAGCCCTTTTTAATGACTCCCAATATTGAACATAATTGGTGGTTCTTTCGAAAACGACACGTTAGATCATTGTTTTTTTTGTTTTTCTACATTTCCAGTAGTTTTCTTTAGCACTATTTCTGACAGACCAAATACTCATTCACCTTGTGTCCATTCAACTTTATAGAAAACTGGACGATCTCCTGCTGCAGTATCTGTGGACACGTTGTGTTGCATCATAATGTGCAATTTCCCAGAATCCCTTTAAATTGGTTGTTTGGTGTGAACAAAGAACAGCAGCCAATCAGTGGTCAGTAGGCTTTGTGTACTGAGATCCTAAATAGACTTGTAGTGCAAAGCAATTATTCTACTAACAAAAGACATAATTGCTTTGCAGCGCATAGCCCATACATTGTGCATATGGCCGCTGTTAAATATTTACTATTTCTCATTTGGACTAAGTATTTTGTTTTTGATAACTATATATAACTATAATAATGGGCACTGAATAAATGTTAGATTGCCAAGCAAAAACAAAAATGGACAAGCAGCAAAAAATGGATGGCATCCACCAAAAGCCTGACGTATTGTATGTATATGTGTGTGTGTGTATTTATGAGCCTATAAAATATCTATATGCAACACCCTGGTAAGCTAATATTAACAATTTAGTTGCCTTCTATTTTAATATTGTATGACATTTCAAATGCTTTTATCCAAAGTGACTTCGTGATTTTAGATAGAATTGATTGGCAGATTGGGGTGAGGCATCTTACACAAGGACATCTACAAGTCAGCTGCAGTCATTGGGGATCAAACCCGGTACCTTTTGGCTGGTAGTGTATCTCCCTATAGCCACTACAATATCATAGCTAGCTACCTAAGCTTGACTGGCAGTCAGAGAAGCATGAAGCCTCATGGGTAAACAGGTTTGAAGTGCCGTTTGCTATACAAGGTATCTCAGTCGTTCTCACCACTAGCGTTAGCGCAGCTCTATAATTTAGGACATGATTTTCTTGAGCACTCGACGTCAAGAAATGTGCGCGTTTGTTTGTATGTCAGATTTAATTCCCGTCTTCTTCAAGACTTTGGGGTTGTTTTGCGGTGATTTGATTGCTCATACCGTACTTGGCAAAGGTCTGCTGCATAGCTGAGTTGTCTGGTGGAGTCTTCTTTTATGTTATTCACTTGATATCATGTATTACCGAGCCTCTGGCTGGAGACTTTGTGGACCTCTTAGTCCACATTCAGTGAGTGTGTAGTATTCACAAACCATCCTTCTGATGGTTTTAGTGTCAAGCGGGATACTCTAGTCTCTAGACTATCCCTTTGCCCCGTGTTTGCCTCCCAGCCAAAAGATACTGAGTTTGATCCCCGATGTTCGCAGCCTTGAAAAAGATGACCCTAACCCTATCCCCTATATCCAATCCAATCCACTTTATTTATGTAGCACGATTTTAGCAAACACAAGGTTATACACAATAAATAGATAAGACAGTAGAAGCATAACAAAAGTAGACAACAGAAATACAAAAACAATAAAATAAAATAAAATAAAAATAAAAATGCACTGCCCGCACTAGATAGAAATATGCATGTATATACACATAAAATCAACACTCTACATGGTGTCAAACGCCAAAGAGAAGAGATACCCATACCTGCTCAATAATGATGTCCTTTCACTGTGAGTTGCTTGCGTTGGATAAAGGCAGCTGCTAAATGACTAAGTAGTAAAATAGTAATAGCAAAAACAGAACCAATCTGTAACTGACAATCTCTCCCTCCATGTCTAACTGATCCGGCTACGTTGTGTTGTAAAGATGCATGTGTGTATCTTTCTATCTTTCTTTGGCCTACATGTGCTTTTGTCACTTTACAGGTTGCCGTCTAATTCGATGCCAATAAAATCGAGCTCTCCAACACATCACAAACAGAAAAATTGGAACTGAATTTCGCTAAACAGAGCTATTTGTCACGGGGCGAAAAGATGCAAAATGACCTGTCTTGTACGCTTACCTGAATTGGTTCATCAGGTTTGCAATTTGCATCGCATTAAACTCTGTCTCTGTCACTTTAAATGCGTCAACAGCCCCGGCGTTTATTTTATTTTTCCTTTTTCCATTTCACTCTGTACTATCTAGCGGAGACGGCAGGAGCACCGAGTGTCACTTCTCGGAGATTCGTAGCGTCGTGATTAGGGCTCGGTCGATGCTACAGAGACGTTTGCTCTGATTAAAACAAGCCCTGGTTGGGGTGTGCGGCAGGGTCGCAACTTTGGCAGAAAGTTTAAACATCTGGTGCCGGCGACGGCGGCTGCGTCTCGGTCCAAATTGACCGAGGTTTCCATCGCCATCGCTAGGAGCGTTTGTGGTGGAGATGACGGTAAACAGAGCGCTAGAGCTGCGTTCAGGAAGTTGCATTCAGTCATTCAATGTATCCGAGTTGGCAATAGCAGATGGTGTCCTTGTATGTATGTGTATTATGGGATGTTGGGTTATTTATAACACAGTAAGGACATATACAAACACAATACCACATTGTATTGTATAAAGTACATGATGAACACATGAATATGAAAACATAAACTCACAAATATCGTCTGTCAGGTGATGTATACATGCAACAAAACGCGTTTCTAGAGAAATATGGGGCTTCCTCCCACCGTATTTACACTTAGTAATCATTGATCATTCATCAATCATTCATTGATCTAAATATCAATATTGTTTATTAAACACTGCTGCACAGCTATGTCACTGTTGGTGTTCATGCTTTTAATACTGTAGACATTTTCACCGACTGAAAAGATATATGAAATATGGGACGCACTTTTGGATTTTTAATGGAGTTTTATATTGCACAAATCACGCTGGCAGCTCCCCAGGTTACAGCTGGCATTCAGTCTGTACACTTCAAAAGATGTATAGAGCTGCATTTCTATTGTTTACTTCTTTCTTCACAAGATTTAAAAAGCAATTTTGTCTTTTGTGAATTGTGATATGTCACTTGCACATGATACCAACACATATTCATATTTTACGAAACACATATTATACGCATGTATCTGCTGCAACGCCGCTTTATAATCTCACTGGTGCCGTTGCTTTCAAATTCCTCAAGGTGATTAAAATCTCCTCCGTTTAACAGGCCGTCGCTAGGAAATTGCCCACTAGTTATGAGCAATCAAATGAGTCCATGTGGAAATATAAATAAGCCATTCATTTTACCTCAATGGGCGTAAGGTACGTCATGTTCATGGTTTATGTGTATAAAATAGGGGCTGTTGGGGCAGTTTAGTTTGTGTAAATCACTCCCTGCCCCTGATCGGTTGCTTTATCGGAGATGTGGGTGGATCTGTAAATTATGTTGGCTTTGATGGAAGAAAAAGATCAATGATGAGAGTCAGCAAATGACCGGCATTTGACCTCGGCATGGTAAATGATATCCTTTTGATGTCGCAAACGGTGTCACATTCAAATTGGCCTGGGGCAATCACCAGATTTCACATGTGGAAACAAACAGCGTAGTTTCTTTTTTCTCCGTTTGAACTTCTCCGTGGCTAAAGCCCCACATGTGGCGATCCACTCACTTCTCACAATGCCGACTCAGCATGAACACAATGGCGGCAAACTGCACATGGCCGCCATCGGGATAACAATACAAAGTAAGCACAGTTACAGTATTATTTGTAGTATGTAGTAAACGATTTCATATTGGCCCAATATTATATTGAAATAGGGTATTGGTGGGAGAGAAAAATGTGGTGGGATGTCTCTAAAATAAAAAAAACGACCTAGAACAAATTATTTAACCTCACATAACGGCGGATATGTAAAGCAATGGACCTGTAGGTATGCTGATAAAACTGGTAGTTAAGGGCTCAAATCTGATTGGTGGTTAAATCGCGTTATCGGTGCACATATAGTAATATAAAATAATATATACGGCATTTGCCGGACGCATTTATCCGAAGCGTCTTAAAATACATACATTTTCTAGCCTGGGTGGTCCCAGTGGGAATCGAACCCCTAACCCCTGGCAACGATCGGGCCATGCTCTACCGGTTGAGCAGGTCAGGACCACATGGTAAACAAGTTCCCATGTCCACTTAACTTACTGAAGTCTTATTTTTCTTTAGGATTGCTGCAAGAGAAACTTTCTTTCTTGCAATGAATCTTTCCTTGGGCTATGTTTCCAAAGTGCTTCTTATGGGCATTAACAATGTCCTTCCAAAATGTCTCTGGAAGCAAATTAAGGCTTGTGTGTTTGCTTCGTTGTGTGCACACCGGATTAGGGTTACGGAAAGGTGTGTGTGTGTGTGTGTGTGTGTGTGTGTGTGTGAGCACTCTGCTTTGTTACTCGGTAGACTGTGTGTGTGTGTGTGTGTGTGTGTGTGTTACTCAGGGCTAATGCATCAAGGAAACATAGTGGCCAGCTAATAACGTTTGGCAGAGGCCATCTATTTCGGCCATATGATACTAAGTCTCAGGGCGGCCACAGCTCAGTATGCCTTGGATATGGCTTATAGCTTGCAGCACTCTGCCACAACAACAGGCCTACAAACACACTGTATATATATATATATATATATATATATATATATATATATATATATATATATATATATATATATAGTGTGCCTGTTGATAAACACTATATGTATATATAGTGTTTATATATGCAAGTAATAAATACTAGAGATAGACCAATCCACTGCCGATATCTGCCGATACCCATACTGATTCTGATATCAGAGCTTTTTTCTTGAATATTATTATTATTATTGTTATTGTTATTAGTGTTGTTGTTGGTATTATGTGTAAGGTTTACATGAGGCTGTAGTAAGCCACACAGCCCTGTATGTAAAAATACATACAAACACACAACAACTGTAAGGTTTTCAAATTGAATATGTATTTAATTCAATAGTGTTTCAAAAGGTTTCAAAAGTGTGATAACTGTGTAAAGAAATAAATATCTGTACTACTTACAAGCGCTGTTTCATGTTATGTTTCGGTGGGTTCATGGTCCAGCGCAGGCTATGGAGGTGAATCTGGATCAGTCATTTCCTAAATGACTGATGAACATAAGTAGATAGTATGGGTTCGGTGTTTGTCTCTGTGTAATGAAACAACTTATAAAGAACATTAAACTTTGACATTGACAATGAAAGATTTAATCAAAATAAACTTTTACTGTATCACTGGAACAATGATAATTTGTTTTTTAAATCATTTTGGTAGTACAACTACCAACATCACCAGCTATTAGACAAAATACAAATTGCATAAAGCTCACATGAACACACATACACCGACAAACACTAACACACCAACAAAAACACACTTTTCAAATCCATACATGGCGTTCCCCACCCGCTGATCTCTCCATCAGAAACGCATTGGTCCAAGATATGAATCAACGCACCGGTCAACTGAATCGGGTCGGATCGAAATGTGCTTATGGACCTTTTGATCTCAATCGGCAGTCTGCCGAATGTTGGCGGCTTTTCTGTTTCCCTCCCGGAGAACACACCTGGGCTCCTGTTGTTCCCACAGCAGGGGCGGTTGCTGTTGTGAGGCAAAGAGTTAGAGATTACATCTCAGATAGCATGGACCCCGTCTCTGTGGGAGGTGCTGAAGGTTTTATGGAGAGAAAAAAACCCCTGCACAAAAACAAATGGAAACAAAAACAGAACAACATGTATGGTGGGATTGTAGTTCACGCGGGGTGGTGTGAAGCAGCTGTGATGTTTGGCTAGGTTTAGGTGAAGTGGTGTCAGAGACTGTATAGGTCTGCAGCCGGGTGAAGTTCATCAGTTCAAGTTTGAACTGAGTGGATTTTGCTTGTAGAAGAAAAAAACCTGAATGGGTGCCATGGGAGGACAAAATAGTACAGCTTAAAGTCGCAGTAGACAATATTTGTGCATTAACATTTTCAATATGAAGTCAATGTTGATTGCACAGTGTAATGGCTACAGAATAATGACACCGTTGGCGTTTAGGTCGGTTCCCTTAGCTTCCCTATAAGCCTCGCTTTCACTATGCAGCTCTGTGTGCCACCGGGTTCGATCTCCCGGGAAACATGAAGGCTGCATTTACAGCACAAAGAAAACGCATCAACCATTGTGCGTACAACCAAACCAGGGAGGATAGCGCTTTTGTTTACCCGGTAGCTATCGGTAGCTATCCCCATTAGCTATCCCCAGTAGTGGAAATGGCAGACGCTGGAACAACCGATGTAACTGTGGGGAAAAATGATCCTGTTGACAGAGAATTTGTATCTGCTTTCATGTCACCATTATAGACTAAATGAATTAATAAACTCACATTTTTTTTTCATCTTCTTCTGCTCCCCACTCCACCCCGACGCCAACCCCTGCTGCTGATACTTGTTTGTGCAAAGCAATACTCAAACTATGGTATTACTAGGCAATGCACATCATTACAATAACATTTGCCTGTTCCCAAATTCAATATAAAATTATGCCAATTTCACTTTACCTCTTCAGAGAACATGCTTCTTTCTTTATTATTTCCAAAGTGTCGATTGTTTCTTTCGCGGAGATTTCCAAACAAATGCGCGTCTTGTGTTTTGCGAGTTTTGCGACAGAAAGCTGTCGCAAAGTTTGCCTCTGCGACAGCGGTGCAAAAATAATACCACTTGGAAATGCTAGGGTGGGAAAAGTTGAAAAGTTGTCTACTCCCACTTTTTATAAAAATGCACTAAATAATTGTGGCTGCCTTTTGGCTCGATGCCTGCACATCTTTAAAATGTCCTGGTGCAAATGTCTTGTGAATATGCAGAGTAAAAAAGTAAAGGAACCTAAAAAAAAAAGTATAAACTTAAAAAAAAAAATCATATTCCCTCAAATGTTCCCCCCCAAAAAATGATGGTAAATATAGCTCCATTTCTCAAGTAAAAATATATTTTTGTTCCCCCTCTTCCCATCAAACTCATATCATGTCGCATGACAGGGGAGGTGACTTATGGTGTGACACGTTTGCGGTCGCCCCCTCATCTTGTCCTTGGCCAGCGAGCCAACCCGGAGAGCATGTTGGACAGGGCTAGGGTGCGATGGCATACGCTGCTCCGCTGATTAATCTCCCGTGACAGGGACCCAGCTCAGGAGGCCAGCGCTAGTACCGCCATTAATCATGCAAAACCTGGCCAAGCCCGCAGGAAATTAATTAGCTCTTAACAATCAAGCCTAGCCTCGTAATTTAAGCCCGGGCTAATTTTATTGCAGGATTTACGTATTTGTTGCGACGCAGCAGGCACCACTAAAAGTCTTAAAACTCACATTTTGTGCAGAGTTGGGTATATGGTGGGGAAATACCGGACGTCCATGTGATGGGAGGGAGAAACAAGAAGACAGAGATCCAATACTGTGGAGCAGAACGAAAAGGACGAAACGAAAATCTGACCGCGTCGAGTCATCCTGAAATACCTGAACATGTTAACATACAACCCACTTAAGGCTACCCCTCTGGGAAATCAGGCAATTGAATCCGATACTGCAAGCGATACTTAACACCAGACAGTTACTTAACAGCAGTTAGCTGCCTCTATGTAATAACAAAGGACCTTTGCACTCTTTCTCTCTCTCTCTCTCTCTCTCTCTCTCGCGCGCTCTCTCTACATTTTAAATGATATACAAACAGACAGGGACAGGGATGGACCACATGCTCTGAACTTATTTAGCTAGTTCCTGGCTTGCATGCATCTTGGCCTAGAATTGCACACAAAACTCACACACACACACACACACAGAGACCACACGCTACACACACCACACACACAAAAAAAAGGATTGCTGTAAATAACTATACCACACCCTGGGGTGCCTTGCTTGGCTGTAATGAGGAGCTGTGGTGAACTTTTTGGCCAGCTCTAGCATGAAGGTCCTCCTGGCAGTCGCCTCTTCTTCAGTTTTTATTTGTGTGTGTGTGGGTGTGTGTGTGCGTGTGTGTGTGTGCGTCATGGCTGCCAGATAGAGAAAAGTTGAAAAGGACGGCAACTGGCCATCCCCATCCCATGACGGAGCGCTACCATCTCGCCATCTGGTCTAAAACATCAACTGCCGACCCTGGTGGTGTAACCGAGGCAGACGGTGTCCCAACTTTATCCCCAATCCCCCCTCCCCTACGATGTCAACGTCTCGATGAAGGGTACGGGCACGGGCGTGTGCGCAGAAGATGGGTTTCCCTCGCGTGTCGTTCTGCGCGGCGCTGTTTGGCGTCGCTTCCTTCGTCTGGCATGTGTACCGCCGCCAGCGCACTTCAGTGACGAACCACCGCTTGTCAAGAGTAATGATGCAAGGTGGTTATTAAAGTTGGAAGTAGATAACCTTTTGCTTTAACGTATAACCATGAAGTAAATGTTTGATTGCATAGCGTAATGGCTATAATGAGTAATGACACCATAGGCGTTAAGTTCGGTTCTCTATAAGCCTCGCTTTCACTAACATGTTTTATTTGACTACTTGACGTACTTTGTCTCCAAACCGACACGTTTTCCAGTATGTGTTAGAGGTTGAGTTGCAGATAAATTAAAGTGGAAGTAGACAACTTTTCAACTTTTGTGCCACTATCGCAAAGACATTGACTATGCATTGCATAGTAATAGCATAGTTTGAATTCTGTCACAATTTTTTGCCGATTTACGGCACAAATGGAAGTGCGTCAACCACCCGCGTAGCGGCATAGCGGGTTATCCAAACTATGCTTTTACTATGCAATGCACATTTTTACAATTACCATTTGTTCCCATATTCAATACAAAATTATGACAATTTCACCGTACCTCTTCGGTGAAAATTCTTCGAGGAAAAAAAAAAAAAAAGCAAGCTCTCTTACACATGTACAAATTACTGAATCTAAACCGTACCCAACTAAAACTGTAGACTGAAATAACCCAGTGAGTTACCTAACTATTACACCCCTGTAGTTAATATAATTATAAGAATATAGCACTAACACTGATTGATTTATTAATAGCATAATGGCATCTTAAGAAAAGAAACATTAGACGCTATAGGGCCGCAATAATTAAATATTATCGTTTATCGTCTGAATGGTT